AGCCTTTTTCTAGGGAGAGGAACATGAAGCGTAAGGACCCTGCCTCTCTCCTTGCAGAAGGGGAGGGAAGTCGTATGTTGCTTTGAGCCATGGTATACCTTTCCCTGTTGATGGGGTTTGGATGTGGTTCACCCCAAGACTGACAACTGCGTGGAGGGTGGCACTGACCAGATCTATATGACTGCTTTCAGCCTCTTTATCATCTCTCTGTCCTGTCTTCTACAGGAGAAACAGACAATGTTTATGAAGGAGAGAGCCCTGGGACCTGTGCAGTGGCTCTCTATGATTACCAAGGAGGTGGGTCTGCCATCCAGGCTGTGGGGAGAGGCACTGGGAGCTGGCCGGGGTGGTGCAACAGGGAGGTGGTGGCTTATACCATCAGCAGTGGTGAAAAGATTTTGACTTGGTGGTTTAAGTTTCTTCCTCTTGGAAAGCAGAATGAGACCTAACTTAGGAACACAGAAGCTTCATCTTTCATCTGTGAAATCTTGCTCCTCTGCTTTATCTGTGCTATTCGATGTGGGTTGGATGAGATGAATTCTGAGAGTTATCAGAATGCTTGTTCTGTATTCTCCTCCTGGGTTGGCTGGGAGGAAGAATGTAAAACCATCTCTCTCTGGGGATATCTTTGTATTGTGACTATCTTTTCTGAACAATTTTTGCAGATGGAGATGATGAAATATCTTTTGATCCTGATGACACAATCACACACATTGAGATGGTAGATGAAGGCTGGTGGCGGGGGAAGTGCCGGGGCAAAGTAGGCCTCTTTCCAGCAACTTATGTGAAGCTTCTGTAGTGAAACCAGAATTGTCCAAGCTGATTCCTTCCAAACTTTTGCCTCCTCTGCTTCAGTCTTTAACATGTTATTAGCTTAATTTGGCTTGACCTGGCATGTCTACATGCAAGAAGTACCAAGGAGCAAACTGACAGTGTCTGAGCGGATGTTTTGGTCTGTGCACAAGAGGACTTTTGTTCCCTTCCACTTCCAGATGGGAAAGGTGGGATGGTTTAAGAGCATGTGAGTGTGATATGTCTTTTCTACTTAGGCTGTTCCACATGTCAACCATCACACTTGCAGGAGAAGTGTGCCCATTCCTGTTCCCAACAGGGTAATTCACAGAAAAGGAACACCAACTCTAATGCAGTCAAGGCAGAAGGGACATGAGCTATAGGACCTTTTTAAGTTGCTGTGGCCCTGGATCTCCTCCTACCCAGGGGTCAAGGAAAAAATCACTGTGAAGGCCAAATTTGCCTTTGTTCCCAAGAAGGTTTTACACTTGCAGGATGAACCATGTTTGCAGCATGGAATGGAGAAACATGAACCTGGTCTATCTAGGCAGATTTCAGGGCTAGGACCTGGGAACATTTGACCACCACAGTGAACGCTGCTGATTTTTCCTGCACACAGACACAAGCTTGGATGTAGTGACCTGTTAATTAAACAAGAGAAGTGTGTGCTGACTCAGTGAAAATGTAGGGTGATCTTGCTAAGGTAGGAGATTACTCGCTTTTCCTCTGTGTACCAAGAAAGCTGTTGTGAGATGTGTCATTTCTGGGGTAAACCTTGAAAAAGGAAGTGCAAAAATTAGATTGTTTTCTGAGAAAAATTATTCTGGAAAATCTGTCTTGGAGCAAGAAAAAAAATACTAAAAGGCTTCATTTAACAAAGAGCATATTAATAAATGTCTTGGTCCTCATCCAGGCAGCCCATCAGAGGAATGTTCTTCTAGAGAAGTCCTTTCAATCTAGCAATTGAATCAGAATAAATGCTGCTTGATACAGGCAGTAGAATATTTTTAAGAGAGCTCCATTTTTCCTCTCAACCGCTCTGACAGCATAAATGAGCATATATATGCCAGTGGGGCAGGAAGAGCAATCCCACAGCTTGTCTCTAGCTTAAGGCTCCAATGTGCTTTGCAGTCAGTGCTAAAGGCAGGTTCCCCCATCCAGTATTTAGCTCAGACTGTTCTCTCTGCTGTTGGGTGGTCTGAATCCCAATGCTGAAGTCAGGCCTCCCCAGTGTGGCAGTAAAATAGTTAATGCCTCATAGGCCTTTGCAGGACTCAGTAGTTAAGAAATACTTGCAGTATTGGTCTCACAAGTTTGATTAACAAAGGAGTGAATTACTTGTTAAAGGTTGTGCTGGCTAGAGCCTCCTTATCTGAAGAATATTACTGTTACTTACAATATCCTGCTCATCTGACATGGTTTGGTGAAGAATGAGTTGTATAAACTAAAGGTATAGAAACTCTGTAACTGCCCCATTTGGGCAGAGTTCATATCAGCAGCATCTGTCACTTGGCTGTGCTGTGCTCTCCCTTATAGCTGTAGTAATAAACTGCTTCTGTTATGACCTGACTAAAATTGCGTTCTGGTTATTCTGTGATTGATAGCACATGTCCCCTGTGTCAGTTGTAGGCTCAGTTCCTTGCACAGTGAAAAGAGTCCCTGATTCTAGTCCTCCTTCATCACAGGTGTGGGAGAAAAGCTGAGCAGGTGGTATGCAGGACAAGAGGAATTTTTTTATTTTTAATGTGTAAAGCAGTTTTCATTAATAGACAAGTGCAAACTGGAGCCCTCCCTTGAACCAGTATATTCCAGGCTAGATGCTCAATGTGTCACTGTAGAAGTTGGTTGTTGTTCCTTTGTGGTATGCAAGTACCACCACAATAGAAATAAATCAGGGACTGAGTAGCACAGTATGTGAGAAGCTGCAGGAGCATACCCCAGTGCAGTGCCAGCTGCCAACAGCAGCAGTGCTGACAGTCCCACTGACACCTTTAGAGTTCAGTGCAGCTCACAGGTTGGTTCTGGACCATCCTGCACTTGAACACAACTGCTACCTGGAAGGTTGTGCAGCATCCCTGCTCAGTGTTTGATACTGAGAAAAATCACAATTTGTGTCTGGCAGTCATGGGAAAGACACAGTGTGATTCACATTAGAAATTGTCAATTTTAATGTAAATTTTCTGGAGGTATTTGTTTTGGGGTTTTAGTTGGTTGGTTGACTGGTTTTGGGATGTGTTTTTTTTCTGAAATAACTTTCCCAGTATTTTTTTCCTCATGCAGTTCACCCTTTATTTCCTGATGTTCCTTTACAGGGTGCTCTTCACAATCATTGCATCAGACTCTCTTATGTTTCCTAGTGAGACTGAACTAAGGGTGTTTCAGTAACTTTTCAGGAAGGGTATATAGCAAGTAGAGCTGGCTGAGAGGCTTGCAACCTGTTTGGGTAGGCAACAGGCCATCCCAACATGTGGGTTACAGAAACATTTGTTTCACTGAAGAATAAAATCAGTGTGTGTTGTGCACTATGAAGAACTGTAGCTAGTGCTAATGTTTCTCATCAAGCACAAGAACCACTAATCACCCTCTCTGTTGTGTAAGTCTGATACTTTGCAGATCTATCGGGTAAGCCTGATAGCATGCAGGCCTTGCTAAGACTATACCATTGAAGAGGAGGTAAGACATTGATAACAGGGGAACATCTTGCCCCAGAAGGCTCCAGAGGCTGGACGATTGCCCAAGAAGCATGAAGTCAGCAAAAAATCTGTGGTGACGGGAAGAAGTAAAGGCAGCAGGGGGGAGATTGCCACCACTGACTCAAAGACCAAAAAAACTTGCCCCCCCACCTGTAAGGAGCATGCATGCTAATTTACGCAGCAAATAAGGCTAATTTAAATATACGTAACCAATAGTAGATGGAATGGTAATTATTGACTAATGAGTATAAACTTAGGTTTTTAGTAATCATGTAACAAGATAAATAGGTTGTAGTTTCTTTGTGTAGTGTGCTAGCTTTGTGGAATTGCCACCTAGCACCCATCTTTGCACAAATATGGAATAAAGTGATATCTTGGCTCTGTGTGTAAGACTGGCTTTTTGCACACTAGGTAATGAATCCTGTTTGAGGGACAACAGAACCAGCAAACTGCTCCCAACAAGCTGTATGTCTCATAGGCCCATTTTCTGACTCTCAGGTAGGTTTCTTTGGGAACAGATTGGATTTTGCTGGGTATCTCTTGGTAACTGAGCTATGGATGAGCATGTTTTGGCCCCTTCCAGCCAACGTGCCCCTCTGTGGCACAGCTGCAGAAATGCTGCTGTGGCTGCAGGCATGCACACTTGTATGCACAGCCTGTGTCAGCTTCTGTCCCCACACAGACCCTTGCACTGGTGGCTGGCTGCTCCTGGCTTCTGTCATGGCGTTGGACACTGCTGGCCCTCGCGTACCTGCCTGCAGATGTGCCCAGCAGTAGGATTGCCCCAACACCCATGCAATCATTTGAGCTTGGACCCAGTTGGAGAGCCCCTGCAAGAAGAGGTTAAGCTGAGGCAGTGGCAGCTGGACAAAGCTGGCTGCCCTATGTCACCAGCCAGCCGTCAGCCTCTATCGTCCACAGGCACACCACTCACAACAACTGCTTTTTGATTTTTTATGGCTATAAAGCAAATCAAGCATTTCTGGTGAGGTTTTAAGCAATGCCAGCTCACAGCTCAGTGCCAATAACTTGCTGTTTGACCAAAGCACTGAAAATAATGGTTGGCCTGCTTAAACGGCTGGCTGCTGTGTTAATGTACAAAACGCTGCAGAGCTTTCATGGCAGGCTGGAGAAACCCAGGAGACATCAGACTCAGTATGAAAGCATGTGTGGAAGGAGGATGGTGTGACAGTCCCTTTGTGGAGACCAGATTTTGCAATCCAAGACACTGCCCCTTGTCCCATGCAGGGCCTGGATCAGCAACTCAGGCAGCCCCAAGACAGAGCTCACAGCCTTGCTCGGGGTCAGCACATGTCTAGTACCACATGAAATTGCCTTTTACAGCGTTCCCTGCTAGCAGCATAGCTGCAACAGGTCCTGTGCTGAGCTCAGCACAACACCTGCAAAATAAAGACATAATCCTGGAACTGTAGTCCTGTTCTCAACTTCATTTTGCCATTCTGCTATCAGTGATGTGCTGAGGATCAGACAAGTGATGGCAGTGTGCCACAAGCAGCCACTACCTGGGCAGAGGGCTCTGAGCCCACTGCTGCCATCAAAGATTTCTCACAGATGGATGATGCTGCACCAGTGCCACATCAGCACTCTGTTGAAGCCCTGGTATTGCTCATGCATTGCTGCCTGTGGACCCTGGCCTGCCCTGTCCCCGCACAGCCTTCCGCAGGGCCCCCCGCACCTCCTGGTTGCGGAGGCTGTAGATGAGGGGGTTCAGCATGGGAGTGACAATGCTGTACAGTGCAGAGACCAGCGTGTCAGCTGCCAGGGAGTAGCCAGAGCTGGGTCGGTTGTAGTTCAGGTTGGCTGTCACAAAATACAGGGCAACCACGAGCAGGTGGGCAGAGCACGTGGAGAAGGCCTTGTGCCAGCTGGTGGCCATGGACATCCCAAGGACGGTGGTCAGGATGCGGAGGTAGGAGACGATGATAAACAGGAAGGGACTGAGGCCCACAAAGACGCTGGCAGTGTGGAGTGCCACTTCACTAGGGTGGGTGTTGCTGCATGCAGCCCTCAGAAGTGGAGGGACATCACAGAAGATGTGCTGGATCTGGGCAGCCCCGCAGAAGGAGAGCCTGGAGGCCAGGAGTGTGTGCACGGCTGAGTCCAGCATCCCCCAGAGCCAGCAGCTGATGGCTGCTGCCACACAGACACCTCGGCTCATGGCATGGACATAGTGCAGGGGCTGGCATATGGCTGCATAGCGGTCATAGGCCATGACAGCCAGGAGTGCGCATTCAGCTCCTGCGCACCCCATCAGGAAGAACATCTGTGCCAGGCACCCATGGTAGGATATGGTCGGCTGTGGGCGCAGGGTATTTGCCAGGATCTTGGGCACTGTCACTGATGAGTAGCAAATGTCCAAGCAGGACAGGTGACTGAGGAAGAAGTACATGGGGCTGTGGAGATGGGGATCCAGGGACACGAGGGCGAGTATTGCAGAGTTCCCCAGCAGTGTGGCCAGGTAAATGGCCAGGAAAAGAGCAAAGAGGAAGGGCTGGCCGTGGGAAAAGCCCAGGAGCATGAACTCCGTTATGTGAGTCTGGTTCTCACCTGCCATGGGGCCAGCTGGGTTGGTCTGTGGGCAGAAATGAGTGCTGTGAGGAGGAGGTGGTAACTGTGAGCCAGGGAACTGGAGCACAACCACCCACAAGGCAAGGGTTTCACTGGTAGGATGGCTTTGGTCTGTCTCCATAGTGTTTGGAAGCTTCCCACATTGAGATTTCACAGACACTAGGATTCTAGAGTCCAGAGAGCTACCATTCAATGTTGGATACCTGACTGCAACAGAATCATACAGAAGAAACCAAGAACAGTATGCATCTAGACTAACCCACACCTCCTGGGTTCTCCTGTCAGCCCAATTCCCTGTCTTGATGAGTATACCAAGCACTTCTCTCTTTTCCTCTTGGTTGCACTTTGGTGACTACATGTTTTCCTGCCCCCTGGACACGGTGTCATCATTCCTTAGATGCCACAGCCTCTGAGCTTGCTCTTCCCCAGCCACCGGATTGGGGATATGGCACCACCCTGCACCAGTTAAAAGATTTTTTGTTTATCCTGTCTCCTGCTCTGCCACTTTTGGGATGCTTTGCTCTGTGATAACCAGCACTTAAAAAAGCATGGGTTCCAACTGAGGGTAACTCACCACATGGTGTTTGTCAAGCCACAGGTGAATTTAAGCCATCAGGGGTCTTCACTGGCCTGGGCTTCCTGATCTTTCTTCCATTATCCTATTTCAATTTTCACACCGACACAAGGGTTGTGCTTACTGGCACGTGAAGTTATGATCACCATGTCAACATGATGGACAAGGCATGGGGAAGCAGCTATTGCTCATAAACCTCAGCCAAGGACTGTTGAAGGCGGTACTTGCTGGCCACTTGTGGCCAGAGGTGCTGCTGCCCACCATGCTAGTGCCACAAAGCCCATCAGATATAGGCCAGGTGCACAAATACCACCTGGTGAAGCAGCCTCTGTGAGGCTGATGAAGAAATGGGGCTAAGAGAGGTTAAACACCACCTGCAATCACCTTCTCTTGGGGTGCAGATCTGTCTCAGCCGACACTTAGCATGGGCACAGACTGCACTCAGCCAGTCTGAAACCAGGGACTTCTCTTGACTGGGTGAGGAAAAGGACTCAGAGAGGCTTCAGCTCACATATGTGATAATAAGGGGGCAAATAGGGCTGGAAAGCATCAGGGCAGACTGTGGCTGCATGACAATACAGGGCACCTTGGGGAACCACGGTTGATCTTGGAGTGGTGAATAACAAAATTCTGTTCTCCCTATGAAGCTTTTTTGTTGGCTCCTTTTGATTGCCTCAGCAGATATTAGCACTCTAAACTATTCCTGAATCAGAGAATAAGGTAACTGGCCAGCGTACCAGCCATAGCTGAGCAGGTGTTTGCCAGGAGCTGCGGCAGGACCAGTACTGGCTTCTGGGTGGGTTCTCACTGACAGCACTGGGCTATGGTTGGGATGCGATGGAGGACTGCACATCGCTGAACTCAAGGATCTAGTTCCCTGCTATTCTGACCTGGAACTTGTACACTTCAAAACAAGGCCTGCCTGCCTCAGTACAGGGCAGCTATGATCAGCTTTTCCTTACAGGTAACTCCAGCAAGCCTCCTGTGGTCAGGATTCAACAGCGTTCCCAGACGATATATCAATTCATGTCACTCTCCATTTACTAAACATTAAAGATGTCACCTGATGGCTATGCAGGGACCCATTGCCATTATATAAGATCAAAGTGAATACGACAAAAAAAAAAAACCAAGCATTCCCTTCTTTATAGAGCAACTGAGGTCAATTGTCATGTGTCTTCACGAGATTAAACACAGTTAAATTTCAGGTTGGTACCCGTGCTTTACCCCTATTAATCTGTTTCTAACTTCTCTGTCCAAAGCACATATCTATGTATCAGTCATTATTTAAAAATGTTGAGCAGTGGAGAATTCACTGCTGCTGTTGGGAATATTTTTCTTATAGCTAGTTACAAGAAACTGTCAAAGCACTGTTAAAAATTGTGTGCATTTTCCCTGTTGGAATTTCTTGAATGTCAGCTCCGTCTCATTCATAATTTTCAGCTCTTTCTCTTCCAGATTAAGGACCCTCTATTCTAATAGTATTTTCAACTTGCTTCTACTTGCACACTGTCATCAGTATCAGTGCTTGCTAAGTAGAAGAGCAGCTAAGTTCTGATTCATTTCCCTTTTGCTCTCTAGTTTTTCATCTTTTAAAAAAATAATTTTAATATTGAGAGGAAAACTTTCAGTCAAAAGGTTAATTCTTCTTTGTCTAGCATAATGACAGACAAACTTTTTATTCCATCTTGGACATGAGTGCTGTAAGGCTGAGAAACCACTGCCTGGCTGAGCTCTCCAGCAGTCTCCCAGATCAACATATTCTTTAACAGGATTTATTTTTATTACTAATTTTGCTTACATTGGACAGATACATAAGAACTATATCATCCAATATTCTGGAGGTCTTGGACCATCACTCTTCCTCCAGCCAGCCTCCAACAAAAGTTGTGTACATTTTGATGCAAGAATAGCCTAACTTGTTTAGCTCAGCATGGCAGCCAGGATCAGGTGCCTGAGAGGGGCAAGAGCTGGGATAGACCACAGCAGTGTTCCCTAGGCATTGTCTCCTGTCTCCAGCTGTCCCTGCCTGCAAACCTGCGTAATGTACACATTGATCTATATAGATTCAAAATTATATATGTGTGAACTTTTACCATGCTAAAGCAATTGGTGGTTTTGTTAGGGCACAAGTGCCTCCACTGTGTAGCTGTGAGAGGGGAAGGCTCTATCCAGGACCTTGTTGGATGCTTTTACTACTGACCTGTTAGCCAGAGACAAGAGTCTGCTGACAAGTTACAGCGAAGGTGGGGACCTGCCTGTTACATAGGAGTAATAGGGGACCTCAGGAACCAGACTGACAAAAATAAGAAGATACTTAATAGTAGGAGGTTAGGCATGTAAGAGTTAGTTACCTGTTTATGCTCTGAACTGGGACTGAACACATGGAAATAAGAGCAGGTAAGCAAGTTGTGTGAATCTATCACAACCCCAGCAAGCCCTTGGTTTGATGTAGGTACACAGTGATGACACATAAGTCATTGTATCTGTGGGAGCAGCAGGGAATTGTTAGTTCCACTGCAGGAGAACAATGAGTTCTGGAGAGCTGCAGATGATGTTCTCCCCATGCTGACAAATCCAGGATGAATTAGGCATGGAGCTACAGGGCTACAGTACAGCGGTAAGAGTCATGCAGAGGAATGACCCTAATTTTTCACCATGGTCTGAAGCAATGTAGCAGTCAGTGGACACAGCCACATGACAAGAAATTCCAGATTTAAACCCTTTGTTCTCAGACATCCTGTACACAATTAAATAGGAAACCATGGTAGGAAAATCTCCCTTTCTCCCTTGGACTACACAGGAATGAGCCTTGAAAGAATCTCCACTGTGCCTCAGCTCCTTTCCCCTCTCTCTCAGTTGCACTGAAGGAAATTTCTCATGGTAACTAATGATTTACAAAGCATTTCCCAGCACAGCTACAACTTTGCCCACTGCTGACCAGTCCAGAAAGGCTGGATAGGGGGACAAAGAGGAAGCACTGATGCCATCAGTACTAGGGAGGCAGCTGGTATCTGTCATTCCCCATGGAAGAAGGAAAGTACCCCTTGACCAGTGTGATGGTGATGCACTAGCCTGAGACCCAGCTCAGCTCTGGTGCAGTCCCTGAAGCAGGGTGCCTTACATCACCACTGTTCATTTCTGCATAGCTCCAGCATTTTGGGGTGCATTGTGCCACCCTTTCTCTTACAGGAGGCCAGATGTGCTCCATGCCCACTCAGGGAAGCCTGTCGCTCCTGCAGGAGGATGTGGCTTGCCTCGCCAAGCCACCACATCCCATTTGCACTCAGGTGAGCAGAGATGAGCAGACCAGATAACCTGGAGCATACAGCTATGGGCGGTAAGGTCCTGAGTCTTGGGTACAATCCAGTCCTAGTTTGAGGTGACGGCTTGACTGAGGGAGCCAGCAATAACACATGATTAATTTCTCCTGAAAAGGACTGGATTGTTTTGTTTGAGGTATCACCAGCAGCCACAGCCTGCTCGTATGCCCAGACCACCCAGGAGCCCTCAGTGCCAGTACTGGGTTTGCCCCCAAGTAGAGTGATGATAGGGACCCCTGTGAGGGTCTCACCATGAGTGAAGCCCTGCCCCACCACAGGCAGCAGTCCTGCCCTCCCTTACCTCCATGTCTGAGAGCAAACAGTGGGCGGCAGACAGTGCTTGGTAAGAGGGAAAAACTAACCATGTCTCCAGGTGCTGTCTCTTTTATCTTACCTGCATGAGGAAAAGCCTGTGTGTCCTCAAGGCTTGCAAGTGGAGCAGAAGCTTTTAACCCTGTGAGGGCCCTAGGGAGAGGCTTTCAGCAGTAGCTCTTGTTCAGTGGCAGAAGCAAGAAACAGAGGAGCATTTGCCCAATCAGCCTGCACAAGTGGGATCTGAGCCCACAGGACAAAGGCCTCCTGGCACAGGACCCACCTTGATCTGTTCTGCTCCAGGCTGTGTCAAGACCAGCCAGAGCTCTCCAGCCCTGGCCTCCTGCTCCAGCTCTGTGCCAGCTCTTGAGGTGCCTGGACTGCAGCACAACTGACCATGCCAAACACCCCGAGCCATAAGAGGATGGGTGGCTGGGGAGGCTGAGAGCTGCAGTCCCTGTGCCCTAAGTTCTTCTTTATGACCCCATTTTATCTGTTGCAGGGCTGTGAGGTATTTACACTAGCCAATGCCAGCAGAGAGGCAGCAATGAGCAGGGCTGGCCATTGGCCACACTTGCAGCAGCAGACCTGTGGGCAACACAGCCATAAGGTGACTGCATGGCATCTGTACTTCATCCATGGTCCCACCACCTACAGTAACCATGCCCACGCAACCCAGGCTGTGCAGGGCTCTCTGCAGTGGAGAGTGTGGTCCAGGGGACCAGGAGAGAACATGACTATAGTGGGACTGTGATCTGGCAGCAGTTCTGACTGGACTCAGTTAAAGCACCAAGTAAAGTCCTGTGAGTTCTTGAAGAGCTAGGCAGCAGGATTACATGGTTTTACATGGAGTGAATGCTGCCAGCTCTGAGTCTGGAGCCATTCCTGATAGAAACAGCACGTTTTGCTGGGGTTCACCACATA